CCTTCAAGATCCTTTCAAAATGGTGGCTCCCAGTGTCGAACTTTTCACTTCTTTTTCATTGGGATCGCATTCACTTTAGAAGCTAAAACAACGGTGAGTAACACAACTCAATGTAAACATTTTATTGCTGATGGAAAAAAATACACAGTTTTAGGAGTGAGTTCTCCTTTAAATAGCTCTTGTATTCTTTTTTTCGAACTTACAGATCTCTCAGACTTTTAAGAGTTGAAAACACTCCGTCTGGTAAAGATGATATACCGTTGTAACCAAACCATCTGTAACAAAATGAGAAAAATAATAAAATAGGCCGCTACAAGCGAGAACAGCTAGAAATCCCAAAGAGCCTTTTTTGTATCAGTAATTTATCTCATGCCGTCTTCTGGCTATCCAATTTTTTTCGTGCTTCGATTTGCTTGTTAAATTTGACGAAATTAATTAAATTTATGAGTTTGAAAAACGATAAATTTGCTTAAAATTAATTCTTTGGCTTTTTCGTTGCTCGATACCTTGGAAAACTCCACTCAGAAAAAAAAAATGAATTTTTTTAAGTTTCTGAAAGGAATTTACGGCTTAAGAGCTTCTGCATGAGAGACCGGGGCAGACTTGGAAATGAAGGTCGGCCGATTTCGCTTAAAATTGGTACACAAAGTCGTTATTTAGACTTATGTAATATGCTTAAGTTTCAGGTTCAACGAACTTCTTTTAGCCGGGTTCTGGATATCAGCCCCGCAAGGGTCCCCAGAGGCTGATTTTCAATGTAATTTTGGCCACTTTTCAATCTCTCTTTAAGCAACTGTCATGGAATGCTTAATTACATCCCATAGGAACAGCATGTTTAGAATCCTATTTATTCCGTAACAATAGTTTTGGTGTAGGTGTCATCGAATCCTTAATTACATCCCATGGGAACGGCTTGTTTGTAATCGTGTTTATTCCGTGGCAATCGATTATGTGATTTGTATTCTTTCATTGTGTAACCAGTTCTGTTCGGTGCTTTTGTGGTTGGTCCTTGA